TACACGTGTCATGCGCAGTTCATAGCATATGCACGCTGACGTACGTGACATAGTCGAGCAGGTAATCGTGACCACCCGTCGTTGTGCTTCCAATTTGTGCCATATCCCTCGCACTCAGTGCTAACTGAGTGTTGGTGATCGTCAGGGCCCCGTTGAGTGGCACACAGTGAGAGCAGCTGTCGCCGTTTCGCATTCCCTGAACCAATGCCAGGCGAACCGATAAAAGTCTGTCCACCCCGATGCATCACGCCCAACGCGCGCGTTGAAATCACCCAGCAGAAATAGTCGGTCGCTCCTCGGCACAGACCGTATCACGGAGGATAGCTGAGTGAAGAATTGATCACGCGTGTCATCAGGATAACACATGGTCGGACCGTTCGTGCCAATATCAGTGGCAAACTTGTATCTTCCGAGTCGTAGGCGAACTGTCATCAGTCGCGCGCTGATGCCTGTTGGTTCACCCACCAGCTGGCCATGGAGGCGATCGGATATTGCAAATCCGACCCCATGTTCACTTGGTGCTGAGGCGGCGTTGCCCACCCAGTGGAATGTGTAGCCAGCACCTGCTTCATGCAACTTACCTTGCTCAGCGAGCCGAGTTTTACTGAGCGTCGCAATATCGATGTAGTAGCGCGCCAGCTCCATTGCGACGAGTGCAGTGCGTCGCTCCGGGCGCACGCTGGAGTACCAGTACAGTAGTGTGCGCACGTTCCAGCACCCGATGCCGAGTGCTTTGCGCGCTGGCATACGACTGCATTAGTGGGAAATCGCACGCGAGATGGTCGTTGTGCTTCGGAGGTTTGCGTGAGGGACTTCACCTGGAGCTTTGGCTCGAAATCCTGACCCACAATGCAGTGGGTGATTTGGAGTATTATTTGTATGTCTCCGCCCTGGGCCTTAAGCTCAAAAGCCTGAACCACAAGTCGGTGCTAGATGATTCAGTTAGGGAATGTGATTGCAGACACAGCTTGGGATCTGCTTTACGGCCGTCACCGGCAGCTTTGGATGTATTGGTAATATTCATATGTGTTTTGCGACTGTATTTGGATAGACACCTGCGGCCACTGCCATACGCAGGTGGGTTTTGGCGGGTTTGCACCAATTTGGCCTGGGTCTGGGATGCCTGGTGTGAGCGGTAGCAAACCACTGAACATCATAAGTTGTCCTCCTAAATAAATAAATAATGAAATGATGAAATAAACAAATAAAACTTTTATTCTTGACATGACGAGGCACACATTTCAGGCATGATCATTTTGACAAAACAATGCGTGATCAAGTATTTGCAAAAATCCGATATGTTTGCCATAACAGTGCTTGTTTGTGCAGGGGGAATGTAAGTATGTAATTGTGTGTGCGTTTATGTAGCTGTGTAATTTGCGCTTGTAACTGTGCTGCTCCATTCTTGAATGTTTGCTATCGTCAGCAATGTGCGAGTAGAAGATTGGTGTCCGTGGGTTGGAAAGGATTATCCAGATATCCACTGGGCAGTGACTTTATTTTGTGGCGAGCCACGACCGCCACGTCACAGTGTTGTTAAGCAGACATTTGTGGCTTTTTATAGGAGAACGCTTGCCAGGCGAAAACCCACCACGTCCTGGAACACTGCCGCCGAACTATTTGCTGGAACGGGTTAAACCCGAACCACCCAGCTGGCGCCACGAGGAGGTTGTTCGGCTAGCCAGCCCTCCCACTTTCAGAGACCATGCCTGGAGCTCGGCCTATACGCCAATCGAGCTGTGAGATTATAACCCGTAGACCGGTTGGCTCCCACGGCTAGGCTTTACTGGAAGAGGGCCATCGACCATTTCCTAACTTCCGAAGAAGATGGACTAGGATGCTGGCAGGGCGTTCGGTCCTGGCAGAAGAACGGCTCGCGCTCTCAGCCAAAGCCTTCGATTAAATGTACTCCCGAAAGGCAGCGGGTCTATTACATGGTCAGATCACTGACTCATGCGGATTGGTGTCCTGGATCTTAGCAGGGAGAAGGGCTAAACCCAACTCCTCCTCAACGGTCGCGACAAGGAGGCGTCCAGGACATTAGCCAATGGCGCAACCGTAGCAGCATTGGCACATCATCTCTCAGGATCTAGCCACCACCAGCCGGAACGCACCATAGGCACTTCCGCCTATATATATATATATACACACATATATATATTTCGTATTAGCACTCGCTTCACATTTGCATACTTGCTATTAAATGTCCAGAAAGTTACAAATACATATACCTTATGAATGCACCTAACAGCTAAACGCCTTACATAGTAGTACAGTTCTTCTGCTTAATGAAAGAAGTACACTTTTCCATAATCATTCATAATGCCATACTTATTTAACATAACCACATCCCCTCTAACAGTTCCGAAAAGTTCCCCTTATTGGACCATACATCATTTCAACGAAATTATGCCCTTAAACAACAAATTTCCCCTGCATGGCAGTTATTGATCCCTCTGTTTCTGCATTACAAGTTCCACAAAGTTGGATTAAAAGCGCCGTCTTGTAGTGTGATTTCAAGAAATACAACATACACAAAAATAAGACAAGCGATATGAATACCCCTTATCCAAAGAAGTAAGTAAAATGTACCAATTGCCACAGGCAAGCATAATATTTGCATACACGAAGCAATTGCAATTAACATTTATTTGCGAAATAAAACATCCGTTCACAATGAGTTAGAATATTAGTAGCACGAAAGGCATGCTCAGTTGTTGTGGAATTCTCCGAGCATGGCAACTTGGTTGCAAACGTTCCGCCACCATTCGAGGTTGCACCTTCAGTGCCGGATTGATAGCAGTTAAGTAGCGGTAGCTGGTAGAAAGCAAAACCCAATAATGGATACGGTCAGCAATCACTCCGTTCTTTATATAGGCATGCAGGCCTATTAATTTTGCCTGCTTCTCATTGGTGAATCCTTTTGTTCAGTGGTTGCGTCCGAGTCATTGTCATTGGCTGCGGAAACGTTGTTGCGACGTGGTTGGGATTATCGCATTCGGATTGGTGCGACGGGTGTGGGTGAATAGTCTGGGCTCATATTGACCATGCTGTTCATTGTCCGTGTGTTGGATTAGGTTCTTTCGGACAACCGTTGTTGATCCTCTTGAACTCTCTTTGTCTCAGCGGTTGGTGTATTGGATCCAGGTCGATATGCATGTTGATTGGGTTCTTGGTTGAGAACCAGGCTTCGAGAAACTCCCTCCCTTTTTGTGTTTCTTCTTCGGTCAAGACCTCTACCTTGTTCCAGTCGAACCTGTGTCCCTCTCCATCCACGTGTGCTGAAACCCATGATGTTGCGTAATGGTTATTGCACGCTCTTTAGTGTTCATGTATCCTGGTGGACCAAGTCTGCCTCTCCTGTATGTCCCATCCATGCAGGTGCGTTTCCACAAGTTCTCCGCTAAGTTAGTTAAAAGGGAAAGGGAGTAAGAGATAGTTTGTGTGAAGTAAGTTTAAAAAGTAGTTTAATAGAGAAATGTAAAACGAAAAGTTTTAAGTAGTAAGTTCGCAGTAGTAGTAGTTTAACGTAGTT